GTGTATATTCGCGCATCTATCCATTCGTCGACTGTCATCCGCTCGTCCGCTCGTCTGCTCGTCCGCACGGGGGCTACTATTTTCCCCTTGACGCGTCGCGCAAACGTTCACCGTCTATATCTCACCCACCTCTCGCAGCCGTCGAATGCGTCGTGACAGCGTGCCGCTCGTTGCGCTTTTTTGTTTACCCGCCCGATGGTTGGCGACGCTCGAGATCGCGATATTCGCGATATGAACGCGAGGCGCACAGCCAGCGGTGGCAGCTGTTACAGGGACCGTGTCGGAATCGGGACCGAGATTGAGACACTCCGGCCAGGCGATAGGACGTCGCGCAGACATCGAGCGCTAATCGTGAGTAGCCAGCTTCCTCTTCGTTTCTATTGCAAGCTCTGCTCTGATAGAAAGGCAGTCAGATCTGCCCGATGCCTTCGACCGTTCGGTGGAATCGCTCTCTCTTGGCTGCTTCGTGGCGCAAGCTGTATGCAAGGGTTGCGCCGCTCGAGGGTTGCACCGAGGTCGGTGTACTGCGCGGCACGCTCGATATTTTATTTTCACCGTTTTTCCCTCACGCGCAAAGCAAAATCAACCCGGGAACTCCCGCGAGCCGGATAGACTCGACCTACCCTGCGAGTGTGCTTTCAATTGCTGATAGTCGGTTCTTATTTTGAGATCGTCCTAAGTAATGTCTTAAAATGCTAATACAGCTTTGTTACTGGTATTCTCATGTAGGGCGATATTTATTTCAGTCGATTCTTGTAGTTAAGACTGTCTTAAGATATCATAAGCCAATGTTCACAAAGAAGGCTGTATTAGCAACTTAAGACGGTCTTAAAATAAGAACGGACTATGAATACCGACCTATAGTCTGTCGTTATCAGAACCGTCTTAAATAATGTCTTAAAATGTTAATACAGCTTAGTGTCTAAGCTGTAAGTGTAAGCTGGTTGGTTCCATAACATCTTATTCTTAAGACTGTATACTTCAGATGGTTTTAAATATAAAAATCGGTTACAATAATCTGTTCTTATTTCAGGATCATTTTATTCAATGTCTTAAGATGCTAATACATCTCTACGGCTAATATTCATAGGCCGTTCTAATTTCAAAATAGTCTTGGATAATATCTTAAGATGCTAATACAATCTTCTAATTGATTTATGACATCTTAAGACTGTACTTAAAACAGTCTTAAATACAAGAATCAACTATAGATGCCTGTGATTGGTTTGTGACATTTTATGTCTGTATTTAAAGCGACCTTAAATATAAAAACTGAATTTCGGTCTGTGATTAGCTTATGATACGTTAAGATTGTACTTAAGATGATCTGAAATATAAGGACTGACTATGAATATCCCTCCTTCCGGTCATTGAATACACTCGCAGGGTAGGTCGTCTATGAATACCGGTCAATGAATCATTGAGGGTAGTTACGGAAGGGTTGGAGGATTTCGTGGAATGAATTGCAGGTTTACTTTCAGTGAAACAGAAGGTAGCAGCTTGAGAAATCTATTTATACCTTCTGACTCAAGTTAGTAGTTACATAAACTTAAGGTGCTTTTCATTTATGCCTGTTTCTACCAATGCAATGTAGATTAACTGTAATCTCGGTTTAATTAACTCTTTATCTTTTTCTAATTCTTAGAACTAGAAAAGGATAAAAAGTAAGTTGTACATCAAGATTAAAATTAATTTACATTTACGTTGGTACGTTAAAGTTAATCTACATTGGAAATAAACACTATAGTGACTTACATACATTATTCTATCTTTCTTGACATTAATGACCAACAAAGACAAAGCGATATTTGTGTCGACTTGTATCAAATGAAAAGCACCCAACTCTGTTATACTCGTTTCGAACTTTACGAATTTTCGGGTAATAAACAGATGCGAATTCATAATGTCGTGTGCCTAATTCTTAACCAACGTTTAATTAACGTTTCAATGTTCCTCTTCTTCATTTCGATATTTCAGTTTTACGACTATGCAATTACGAGGAAGTTCTTCATGAATTTCTAATTAAAGAGTTTGTGGAAATCCTGGGCTTATTTACAGCGCCATAATTAGTTCCTTTTCATTTTCACCATTTTCAACAACATATTTTCAAACATGTAAAGCTTCTTTTAAATTCATCCCGTTTTTCTACACTTTTGTTAAATTTAACACGTTTTCTCGTTTCTCGTTGCTTTGCGTGTCAAGCATACAATTAACTTTTCTGTTATCGATTGTGCTTCTTCTAATTTAGATCTAATTTAAGACCGCAGTCCGATTCACGCTCACAACGCTCGAGAATTATTTCATTCTCGTTCATCAAATATTAAAGAGCAAACAATGCTCATGAGCGTTGTGAACATGAATCGAACCGCGGCCTAGATTTAATCAGTCCGTATATTTACTTTTAAACCGCGAATTTTCTTAAATTTTTATATTTAATTGAAACACTGACCTTCCATTCACATAATTACCTCGCGTTACAAACAATAAGTTATAATCGTCAGAATATTAATAAAACATTTCTTTTAATAATATTAACAATACAAGAATCTCTCATATTAGGAAAGCATTTTTACGATGAATAATATAGAAATTTCCACTGATTTATTATAAGCCTGATTTATTATACGTTATTTGTTTTTTTAGTAGTTAGCATGTGTTTTCTACTGGACTAGTACCTACAAAAATAATAGCAGCTAAAAATAATTCAAAAATTTATATTTTTTTAGCTGCTAATTAAAAAAAAAATATTTATGGAAAACGATATTTTTTTAGCTGTCTAGTTAGCTAGAGGCGAGATTAGCATGCTAATTGTTAAATAATGTGACATTAAATGTACAATTATGTGTGATTACGAACAGTTAAACAAATAATTTCGCATAATTTTTCAAATTCTTACTCCAAAGAATTTAGACAGCTTGTTGTCAATGTCTCATGGACTTGTACAAGGAAACTTATAAGTGAAAATTAATTGTCTGAAATTAAGAAAAGGTATATACAAGGTATTCCATTTCTTACACATTATTTTTTAACGACGAAGTCTTTGATAAATCTGGAATCAATTTTTATTTAGTGAAAATTTAATCAAAATGTTGGGAGTCATTTTTTACAAAAGCTTTTTGACTTCTTATATAATATATCTTCTTAAAAGCTCTAAATTATAATCTTATTAAACTAAATTAAGATTAAAACTAAATACTTAACTAAATAACTGTAATTTATTTATTTCCTTGTGTTTCATTCGCGAAAAGATGTTTTTTTCATATGCTTGTAATACGAAAACTGTACTCTAATATGTCTGCTAAAAAAAAATCTCTAGATGAATTAAAGAATTTGTTATTAAAAATTTATTTGCAGAAAGTAGGACACTTGTAATTCCTTTCTGGTGTATGGTTAATGTATGAAGTATTTTATACATATTTCATATACAACACATACATATATGATTTGTCACCCATCATGCTTTATATCAGCAGAAAATATTGTGTGTCTCACAGTTGTTACTAATGCAGGTTTATCTCAATCTTTACTTTATACATGGCATATATCAGGATATATGATACAAATTGAAATCACATGAAATGATAGCTTGCGTGACAAGTAACATTCATGTATTTAACATGTAGATTTGAATTTGGTCTTAGATCTAATTCACACGATGCGTTTTTATTAGTAACTAGCACGTTAGTCTTCTAGCGAACTAAGAAATTAGCAGCTAAAAATATTTTTTATAAATTATATATATTTTGTTTTAAATTAATAATTGAAAAATATAATTTATCAAATTATTATTTTTAGCTGTTAGTTTTCTAGTTTACTGGAAGACTAAAGCATACCAACTACTAATAAAAAAGCATTGTGAAATCAGAACTTGTCGATAGCAGTTTTCACGTCATTTATCGTACAAATACGTTCTTCTAACATGATTCTCATTATTATAATTATATTTGTGTCATCGACTGATTAGTCTGATTTTCATCGCGTATGTTGCCGATTAAACGATTTTCGAATAAATACCACTGATACTGTAATAATTATCATCACAATGTACCCAATGACATTCCGCCCAACATCAATTTGGATGCTTTATTGTTTACTAATGTTACAAATTGTTCTCTATTGTATATACGCATTTACATACTACAAAATGTACAAATTCATTTTATACATAAAATAATCACGTAATATAAAAACAAAAAATTGTGCGTTATTAAATATATAATTATATATGATTACGAATTAAGCAAATAATTTCACGTAATTTTTCTCCTTTCGTGAGTGTTTCTTTTATCACTAACCTATATCTATGATATATTATAATATTAAAAGCAAATTGCGATGGTTAAGATACTGTATAATTTTAAATTATATACTCTAATATCCATGACATGTACACTTTACATGACATATAAGTAAAAAATGAAGCCTATAACGGTTGTAGCTGAATCTTAAGTGCTTTAAATAATTCCATGTGAATTTATATACCACTACAAATGTAGTATATAAATTCACATGGAATTATTTAAAGCACTTAAGATCCAGCTTAGACCGTTATAGGCTTCATTTCTTACTTATTATGCATTCACATTATATGATCCTAATAAATCGTTTATTATTGTTATATTATTTATACACGGAAAAAAATGTTTGGTTGAATTAACTGGAATTCTGGTGGAAAATGAACGATCCAGAATTGTTGTTAAATCTATTAAATTTCTGATTAAATCTATTAAATGTTGGTTATTTCAACTAGAATTTTAATAGATTTAACCAGAAATCTTGTAAATTTAACTAGAATTCTAGATCGTTCATTTTCCACCAGAATTCTAATGAATTCAACCAAACATTTTTTTCTGTATGTTATCATCCATGACATTATAATACCAAGAGCAAAATCATTTTTGATAACGTTTTCACTTTTTCAGCGATATATCTGATAACTTGGTAGCGAAAGATAGAGAAAGATAAATCATTTTCACCGCCATCGATACCCAGCGGGACAGTTTAGTGACCGATTTTTTCCGTTTTATGTAATCCCGACGGGTGAACACACGCTGGCGAATAGCTAGATAAAACGACCTCAAGATAAGAGGATTAAGTGTCGCCTATTCGCGCGCGACACATCCGTGCAGAAGTGAGGGAAAATGCGCGCCTTCTTTTCACTCGCGCGGACGTGTCATTTATAAAAAATCGTATCCTTTTGTCTCTTTCAATGTCGTGGATAACATCTCCGTCGTATTGCGTAGGTGAAAAGTTTGAGATTTCGATACGGGAATATCACAGAAATATCGATGTTTGAATGACTACAACGAATCGTTTATCTTTAAATTTTCCCGTGATGCTCTTGTTACTAG